TTCTTAACCTTGCCTTCATGTGAACTGGCCAAAATACACAGTGGTGCATCCTCTTTCCAAATGAACAAAACATCGATGAATACACAGAGGATTCTTCTAGGAAGGAAGCAAACCCCACGTTTGCAGCGGAGCCTCCTATCAAGGTCGTAATACCGTCGTATACTTTTTCCTTTCGTAAATTCGTACTCAGGTCTTGATTCTCTACATGTCTGGCAGGTCATAATACCATGTATGATAATCATCCAGCTAACATCTGCACTTCTGTGTACAAATTTCTACCCCCACCGTAATACGACATAACCGTCACAACGTCACACTGGGCCTTGCTCCACTGCATAGGACACTAAATGCATCTGGACCTCCTAGAGGTACGATACATTCAAAATGTTCAATCAGTCCAGCTAACATCTGCACGTCTGTGTACAAAATTCTACCCCCACCGTAAACCCACATAACAGTCACAATGGGCCCGCACGACCACACAGCATAGTAAGCATAGCTGCACCTGTTAGAGGTCCGGTACATTCAAAATTTGCGATCAATCCAAGTGTATCTGGTCTTCATTCCAGTCCATGTTGAGTAGCGGAGCGAAGCCCAATAACTCATCCGTCGTCATCATCATCATGCAAAATCCAGACAGAGAAGGATATGATCTACCGATCGCACAGATCTCAGACCAGAATAACAAACTGGCAGGCGCATCGCCATATGCATACTGTGGAAACCAATTTATACGCATACTGTGGAAAGCAATGTATACGGACACACGTGCCATACTGGTTCATGCCAAACTCTCTTTCGTATAATGAATAAGAACCAGCTCTCCTTCATACATGTCTGTCTATTGCACCGAGAGAACCTGGAACCACGGCAAACATGCGGATCTACAGAAAATGATTGTAGGCAAGCCTGACCGATTACTGACCTAACAATTTACCAGCAGACGGTTCAACTGACTCTGACGATCTGACAGCTGACCGAGAGGCTGCAAACGGCATGCCGTTTGCAGCCAATATGACAATGACCGGAGGCAAGGCAATACCTTGCATGCAGATTATGCAAGGGTTTGTGAGGAGAAAGGGGAGTTATTGAATCGACAAACAGAATTGACAGCAGTGCACAACTTGGACTCAGCGCAGGACTGACATGCTGCTGCCAATCTTACAGGCTGATATGTTAGCCTACCGTCTTCTCACCCGAATAGAACGCCCGGTCATTATCGCTGCATCTGGACCGAAAGTTGTGGGAAATACAGCTATAAATGACCGGGCGTTCTATTCGGGTGAAGACGGTAGGCCAGGCAGAAAAATGTCGACAGGTTAAACAAACCTGTATAGCCTAACGATTCCATCGATAATTCCATGATGCCAGGTTAATGCACTGACGCTCCAGCAGAAATCTAACAACGGACAACCTGACAGCTGTCAGGTTGAACCTGACAGCTGACAATCTGGCAGGCTGATAGCCTGATAGGTTGGTTAACCTATCAACCTATCAGGCAGAGACATGCTGAAAGGTTAAAACCTAAAGCATAAGGATGCAATCGATAATTCCACGACAGGTTAACACACACTGACGCTCCAGTAATCTGACAGCTGTGACAATCTTGCAGGCTGATAGGTTGGTTAACCTAAGCCAGGCAGAAACATGCCGACAGATTAAAAACCTAAAGCGTAAAGATGCAATCGATAATTCGACGACAGGTTAACACACACTGACGCTCCAGCAATCTGACATCGGACAATCTTGCAGGCTGATAGATTGGTTAACCTAAGCCAGGCAGAAACATGCCGACAGGTTAACAACCTAAAGCGTAGAGATGCAATCGATAATTCCATGACAGGCTAACACACACTGACGCTCCAGCAATCTGACATCTGACAATCTTGCAGGCTGATAGGTTGGTTAACCTAAGCCAGGCAGAAACATGCTGACAGGTTAAAAACCTAAAGCGTAAAGATGCAATTGATAATTCCACGACAGGTTAACACACACTGACGCTCCAGCAATCTGACAGCTGACATCTTGCAGGCCGATAGGTTGGTTAACCTAAGCCAGGCAGAAACATGCGACAGGTTAAAAACCTATAGCGTAACGATTCCATCGATTTAACACACTGACGCTCCAGCAATCTGACAGCTGACAATCTCGCAGGCTGATAGGTTGGTTAACCTAAGCCAGGCAGAGACATGCTGAAAGGTTAAGCAACCAGTACAATAACTTCGTAGAGTCGTGCCCGTTAACGCGCCACGATTTTAGGAAACGTACGGGCTACTACAGGAGCGCCCAAATTCATCCGACTAGAAACGTTTCTACTCTATTTTTCCCCCCGGCCGATAACTGGGCCAAGTACTGGTGGTTTAAACCTAAAGCGAAAGGATTCCATCGATAATTCCACGACGGATTAACGCACTGACACTCCAGCAATGTAACAGAAACACAACCCGACAGCTGTCCGGTTGAGAGGTTGGTTAACCTAAGCCAGGCAGAAACATTTTAAGGGTTAAGCCTATAGCGTAACGATTCCATCGATAATTCGACGACAGGTTAACGCACTGACGATCCAGCATTCCGAGAGCGGACAACCTGACAGCTGACAATCTGGCAGGCTGAGGAATTGACAGGCCTGTCTGTTGGGCACGCGCACTGTTATGGGGTTCAGGAATTGACGCGCCTGTCTGTTTAGGGGTGTAAGTGTTACACAGGTTTCCATCTTTTTCTGAATGGCAAACTGATTTATATGGCCATGAGCTTGCCCATCAGGTGGATGACCATCACCCTCCACTCTAGAGTCTAGACTATTAGCATGTCGGATCGGAAAGACATTGCGACAGACATTTCGATTGCGATGCGACAGAGATTGCGACCGACTGCTGTAATCGCAAACAACGGAGATTGTCGTAACGACAATGAAGGTATTAGCTTCTCAGTTCTGTCCCGGCAGAAGCATATAAAAGGAAAACATCGCTCCTTTTGGTGTACGGCCATGATCCTCGATCTGATGACCTGCTAGCATGTCAGACAGACATTGCAGCAGACTGACAAACTGCAGTAACGATAGACTGGGAAACCGCGGGCTGGAGGCATTAGCTTCTGATGGCATACCCACACTAGGACTT